TAAACTGCAGTACATATATGTAATAAAATGTATATACGAATTCCTTCTGCGACATGTACAGTGTTGAATAACTTGTTGAATTATTTTGTGCGTGGATACAACACTCTCTGGTAAATGTCTTTTGCTGACATGGCATCGACAAACGTGAACGTAGCATTGGTAGATGATACCTCGATGTAGGCGAATCCACCAAGACTATTGGTGTCTGCATAGTGAAATTTTAGGGAGCCAGGTGGCACACTGTTTTTATGTTCAATTGAGGGGTCTACAACATGTGCCGAGCCAATCACGAAATATTCAACCGTCGAATTGTCTTCTTTCAAATACTGGAAAATAAAAGAATATTTGTACGCGAATATTATATGTTCTGATCTCGATAATGCAACGACAATATGCAACTGTAGGTAAATGAAAAGTAGTATTCAAAACTCGTAAAACTTTAGGTACCTGGAGATTGTGGTCGTGCCCAGAAAAATATGCCGTCGTCCGATATTTTTCCAACATAGGCTTGAGTCTGTTTACAAGTAATGGAGTAGGTCCGTGTTCAGCAATCGACCATACAGGAAAGTGTCCGGCTACGATGACGTAATCACTGTAACAGAGATATGTATATTGATATCGACATCCACGAAGGTTACGTATGTCTTGCTGAGCATGGCCGAGAATCATTGGCATGAGTCGTAACTGCGCTCTCACCACAACAGACTCAGTTTGCGTTTGAATTTATCAACGAGGGCACATTGATAAAGTCAAACCACCTTACACCTCATCTAAAGGGTAAAAAGAAAGTCACTTTTCGATGTCCAAATATTAAGAATAGCCTTTTTTTCACTGTTTGATGAATACAGAAATTTTGAAAAACTTGCCCATTTCAAATATTCATTGTAAAAATATAAACATATGCACTTTACTCTGTAGATTTTTTTAATGTCGCTTCAATCCACTGCCACTGCTCTTCCGCCCTCACTGGATCATCGGGACCAGAAAGTTCTGCTCCGGGAATGTCATCTTGCGTATTGCCGCAAAGGATGATGGTATCGATCATAACAAATAGTATGGTAGCATTGGATCCTGGGATATTGTATCGTTTATTGTAGTAGTAGGATGGAAACTCCCTGGTAAGAAAAAAAAATGTTCAGCATTTTATGTGAAGTGTTCAATTTTTGTATTTTTTGTACGTATGCAATACAAGTTTGCTTACATGCGATTTGTTTTGTCTAGTGATTGGGTATGGTCATGATAATTGTCTTAGATATGCTTGCTTTTAAGGTCGCGTTATAGCCTCACTCACTCATATATTTGTTCTTTCGTTCCTAAATTTATTTATTTATCTGTATTCTTGATCACTGTTTCGTACTGGTTACATTTCGTTCTCAGAGCCAACATCTGCAATGTTGTCACGCACTACCCTAATCAAATCGGACATTTCCATATGATTTGTATTAGCAGTTCACGTAAAGTTCGTCGACGAGGGCGTCCATCGTACATATGTACATTCTTGCGAATGGTAGTTTTTGGTCGGTAACTAGTAAATGATCCGGAATTTTGATTGGTTTATCACGTTTTCATGCTTTGTTATTTTCCTTGGTTAACTGACGTCAGCTGTTACGCTAGTGGTCATTCTATATTTAATTCCAAGGTTTTGTTTTTACTCTTAAAAGTTGCGTGAATATAAAACTGTTTCTCTTCTTGACACTTTATACAAAATAGCGAATCATGCCAAAACCAGACTAAATATGAAGTATAAGCAGGCAGACTAAATGGGCATGGTGTTATTGCAGTAATAGTATTACAGACTGGTTTAACTAGAATGGAACATGGTGTGTTTTCAAATTACGTAACTTAGTAACGTGAATCCATAGCAGGAATATGACGATTACTAGTTAACTAGGTGCGTCCTACTTTACATTCGCAAAGGACGCCGTAAATCAGCGAACACTTGAGGCAAAAAAGCGTATGTTACCTTCGACAGAGCGGGCGTTGTTTACGACAAGCGCACGTCACTGAATTATTTGTTTTCACCGGGAATAAATACCGTCTAGAGCTCGGATATAAATGTTAAACGTTATTTCCAGTTGTTAATTATAATTTAAGAATGTTCTCCAATTTTACATTTTCTCAAAGTGATACAAAACAAAGAATTACTACATATCTCCCGTGGGTATGAACAAGAACCTGTTACTCGAGTGGGTACGATTCCTGCACAACAAATTTCACGGACTAGCGTCATCTCCTGACGGAAATGCCTACAGCTGGCTTCACCATAACACTATTTCACCATGATTATGGAAATGCGTTACGTGACTACAATTGTAAAGGGTCACTGGTGGAAAATAAAATACTAGACAAAAACACCAGCGAAACATATTAACTTGAATATATGAAACAAAAATGATTAAACAAAAAATTAATGTCTTACCATCTTTTTGATCGGTTGGTATATTCAACTTGGGCCTGAACGTTGCCGTTGTAGTCATGGTTACCAGCCACCACATACCAAGGATTGTATAGTGATTTTGCTGTGAACACATTCTCGAATGTTTCCTGAGGATTAAAAAAAAAGTATGGAGACATAATTTACTTTACACTCATATAGCGGCGTTCACGCTAGAGATCTCAGCACTTGTGTGTGAACGGTCGGGACCGAGTCGGCACGTGCATAAAAAGAAATCGATCTCGCGATCTCGGTCCCGATAGATGCTATACTTATGTACCGATATTTTCTTGCAATGCTACATCGACGTGAACAAATAATTGATTTTCAAACCTTCTTTTCCGTTCAAGTGCACAATGAATACCATAACAACAAATGGATATAATTTTAATATAGCAATTATTATTATCATTATATATGCGTATCGTTTTCCATGTTGGGTCAACTAACAGATCGACCGATGAGGGCGTGATTTCGGCACGAGCCGAGTAGGTCTCCGATGTGGGTCTCGACTGACGTGAACGGAACTGTTGTAATCTCTCTCCAAACATGAATGATTAAAAGTGGCCCGTAACGTGAACGTAGCATAAGCTGCGATTTGTTTACATGTTTATTTCCTATTGTGTAAACAACTAAGAAATCGGTATCATGCTGACGTCAAGTAGTGACGATTTTTTATCTTCCCGGGATTCACGCATTAAGCTCATTTGCCAAGAACACAAACTAGTGACGCAAAATAATAAATAGTTTTATTATTATATCTATCAAAAAAGCAGAATATTGAAGTTTTAAATTTAGAGAAATCCAACGTTTGAATCATACCTGGAATCTTGGGTCATCCACACTCAGAACACCGTCCTCATAAAAGTTATCACCGAGCGCCAGCGTGAACTGTGATTGGTACATATCAGCTACATTGCCCATTGCCTTGGCAACGGCTACTTCTACCACAGTGGTATATGGATGTGTTGCCTTGCCACCCCAATCACCCAGAGCCGTGAAACGAACGGCATTTTGGTTTGGAATGAAAGCTGTAAAAATATATACCTTATATACACATGTGATACGAATACAGCAGTTACATAGTTTCAGACGTAAAACATAGCGGAACTATAACCACCATGCCCTTTAGGTACAAATGTAATCACTACACCTTTTGTAATATGTGAACTTTGAAGTGTTGAGCATTTTGGGTGGATGACATGCAAGATGACTCACGTTGCTAATAACCATGCTGGTGTTTGAAGCATACAGTTTAAAATATATGCTAGCTGAAGGGCGTTTTGAAGGCCGGGGTGTAGTTGAATAATGTGGAGGTTTCCAAAAATTCAACATAATAACCAACAGGGGTGTATCATTTATGAAGATGGGATTGTACTGTTGATGGCTTATACTGTTGAATTTGCCCTTATGAGATTCAGACCTGGTTTGGGAGGTGGAAGTCAATGGGAAGTGTTGGGGTAGTTGGGATTGGTAGGGGTAGATCTGTTTAATTTTGGGGCATTCCAACATATTTTTGTTCTTTCTCAGCTACTGAAACTAGATGGTTACATTTACTACGAATTCTGGGAAGTATGCAAGATAAACAAAACTATAGTGATGATGAACTTAAGTAACACAAATCGACTTTTTTTACTGAGTAACAAATTGACTAATCTCGTAACTTTAGTAACAGATCAACTTTATTGTACTGACTAACAAATTGGCTTCTTATTTTGAGTAATGAATTAACTTGTTGTACTCAGTTAGAAATTAACTTATTATCTTGGGTAATAGATTGACTTACTGTAGTAACAAATTAAATGAATAATGAATCCACTTCTTGTTACACAGTACCCAGTCAAAATACCTGCAACAAAATAACTACACAAAACACAAAGTTCAGATTGAGCAGACCAAAAGAAATACATTGCAGCCACTTAAAGCATGGCCCACCAATGTCCATACACATGTGGACTCATTATAACACGAAATAGGTCGAAATGGAAGTCTCTCAAATGTCAACCAAAGTATCTCTGCCTGAAAAGGTTTGATCATTACTATGTATGAATGTGAAGGCAAGTCTCTAGAAAAATAAAAGCCCATATAGCCATGTGTGTGAGTGATTTTGAAACTTTGCTAGGAACAGAGGGGTTTTATAGATGTTTCACTCAGTCCCAATTTATTTTTAGGATCCAGAGTTAAGTTTCAACCTTGACTTATCCACTGAACTTCACAATACAGTTTCACACAAATGAATTTTTGACATTTACAAGTTGCAGGTCAAATACAGAAATTAATTTATGCAAAGCATTAAAATGAAAATAAGTATAGGAAAATTGCAGAGCAGAGAGTTGAAGAGCTGCCAGGTTGTTCCTATGTTAAACTAATATAGACTTGTACATGTTAAGCTACATTTATGCATTTCCACAGATGTCTCCAAATATTTAGAATCTGGACACAACAACTTTGAACTTGGCCAAATATTTTTTAAGAATTTACATATAGTGTAAACAAAAATAGTTCAAATATTTCCCCAGGTTTGCAAGCTACTATGCAGTTGCTTGTACACATGAATTGAATACAAACAGTGAAAAACAGAAACAATAAGGGGAAAAATGAGACAGGGTCCTGGCCTTGAACTCAGGTTTGCTGGATCCCTTGTGTAACTAATCAATATCAATATCTCAAAACATATTTGAGCTAGACACACACACTTTGAACTTAGTCAAGTATTTTATTAAATCAGAATATATAAATAACAAGTAACCTGTAGAATGCTGTGTGGGTAATATTTTTATATTGATTTTTGTTGCATTTGCAGCAAATAGTTACCAAACAATGAGAAATCTATAGGATTGGATATACCTCTCAGCTGGCTTCACATGCATAGTTCAAGACTGCCTAACCGGTGCTTATACCAGGATTTAGTTGCAGCACTGTGGTCTGTGGTTACAGCTTCATTTTCCGAGTAATCACAAGAAATTGACATGACAATAGAAATTCATGAAAGACTGGCACTCCCATACAATTAATAGCAAGTGAAATTCCTGGAATTGAAACATAGATTTTGAAGTCACTGGTGTAGGCATTGAATAACTTCAAGTTGGCATAAAGACGAGGTAGTTTATTTAATCAGTGCTGAACTAGAGGTTGAAATTATAATTAAGTTCGTTGTCATATAATTTGTTTATTTAAATTTCTCCTGAATTCAAATAGAATACACTGGTGAAAGGATGTTTTTGAGGTGTGGTTACATTGTGTATGGAGT